AGGTTAGGCCTTCTGGTGAGGGCTAGAACCGGTCTGGTGTCATTCCATATTTGTTTAAGATAAGCATCAGCTGAGATCAAGTGCCAATGTTTAGTAAGGACGGAACGGAACCTATATTTATAGTTTTTATGTCGAATGGGACAACAAAAGGTAGGACTTGTGGTTTTGGTGGAGGGGGCTCGAAGTTGAGGTGCTGAAGGGTGGTTTCATTGTTGGCGGGGTTTCCTGGGAAGAGGAGCTCGCATTGGGTGACATATGTCAGTTTACTAAATTCGGTGGTGATATCTTGAGATTCATTGTTGTCTGTGATCAAACGTCTGAAGCGAAGTGCTTGGCTGTAAATAACACTTTTTTTACACGAAGGTGGGTGGAAAGATTTAGCATGTAAAAGGGTGCATATATCAGTGGGTTTCACGAATAGGGTGCTTTCCAGGAGACCACTGTTGTTATTAAGATAAATTGTGGTGTCAAGGAAATTTATTCTTGCTCTAGATTGTTGTGCTTCAAATTTAATCGTGTTGTGCACATTGTTGGTATGGGCAAGGAATTCAGTGAGGGAAGCCTCATCATATTGCCATATCATGAATATATCATCGATAAATCGTTTCCAGAGTAGAGGTTTCTTCCCCTCGGGGGCTGTGGAGAGGATATATTCTTCAATAACAGACATAAAAATGTTTGCAAAGTTTGGGGCAAAAGGGGTACCCATGGCAGTGCCATGTGTCTGTAGATATGGCTGTCCATTGAAGGAGAAATAATTCCCTTTTAGTATAAACTCAAACATTTGTTGTAGGTGTGTGGCTGGTAGAGGTAGTCCAGTGGCATAAAAATCAATTAACGCCATCATGCAATGTAGAATACCCTCATCCTGTGGTATATTAGTATAGAGGGATTTAACATCCAGGGTACACAGGATGATACCTGGTGGAAAATTATGTCTCTCTCTAAATATAATTTGGAGAAAATGATTGGTGTCCTTGATGTATGAGGGTATAGTTTTAACAATCGGTTTTAAAAAATGGTCCAGAAATTTGGAGAGTTTCTCAGTGGGTGAGCCACACCCCGAGATTATTGGTCTGCCCGGTATGAGGTCGTTAATCTTTGGCTTGTGTATTTTTGGTAAAAGGTAGAATTCGGGGGTGCGGGGGTGGGGGCTTGGTTCAAGGAACTCATAACATTGTTGTGTGAGAAGATTCCGACCTAGTAGATGTGTTAAGAACGTTGTGATCTGGGTGGATAGCAGCTGTATTCCATCAGATTCTAGTTTACGGTAGTGGAGGGGGTTGGACAGCTGATTGTTAGCTTCCTTAAGGTAAGCCTCTATAGACCATAAGACAATGGCTCCTCCTTTGTCCGCGGGTTTGATGGTTATGTCCTTGCGGGTGCATAAAGTTTTAATGCTCTCAGTTTCTATTGGGGTAAGGTTATGGGGTGTAGGGTTAGCAGCTGACCTTATGATCTTGTTGATGTCGACGGAGATTTTATCAAAATATTGTTGTAATTGAGGGCAGACATCATCAGGGGGGGCCCAAAATGATTTCCTTCTAAAGGGTTCAGGTACCGTCCTGGGGGGATGGGAGTGGAAAAAATATTGCAGTCGCATTCGACGTATAAAGTCATCGAGTCCTTGTAAGATGAGATCATTGTCAACCGGACCGGGGGCAGGAACAAACGATAGTCCCCTGTTCAGCAGAGATATCTCACTTGTTGAAATGTGAGCTGAGGATAGATTGACAATGTTATTGATTGGTTTAGTGGCCAGGATGGCCTTTTTGAGCAGCTTTTTGTGTGCATTTTTAGTTAGTTTATTGGTATGTTTTCTTCGCTTGGTGCCAATGGTTTTCCTGAGTATGGTGCGTTTGGACGCTGTGCTAGGATTGGCCGTGTACATATTGCAATCACTGTCAGTGATGGATTCTGGTGAGGAAAGGATGTCTTCCTCCATAAAGTTGGCCATTTCATATGTTAGAATGACGCGCGTAGTATGATAAATAGGTAACAGAACGTAGGTGACCTTACAATCTTGGCGGCGTGGTGAAACAAATAAGTAAATCATAGAACGAGGCCTGGACTGTTTTAAGGTAAAATAGATTGTTGCTGACAGCAGTTGTCAGGTAGACAGTATGAGATGGCTCCCCATAGCAGGGGAGTATTAGCACAGCGAGCAATGAGGCACGCTGTGAACCATGTGTAGTAAGCCACACCCCAAGCGGGAGAGGTGCACACAGGGGCGGCCCGTCAAGGGGCCCTGGGTTTTCCTCCTGCATGAACAATGTTTTTATAGGTATAGAAGGTAAAAACTAAAAAACCAATATGTGAATAAAAGTATAAAATCCAAAATAGAAGAATGAGAAAAAAGGAGATAAGGAGTAGTCACTACCACCTGGTCACAGCCTCAAACTCCGATGGGGGGTGGTTGTGTGTGCCCATATATGTTTTAAACAATTAGCTTGTAAGTGGGCAGAAAATGATAAAAAAGCAACTCATCAGCCAGAAACCCACGAGGGACATTTCGGGGCTTTAATTCGGTATGTCCGTTTCTCGTGGGCGCCCCTCGCAATCCTGCGTCCAGGATCACGGTTGCAAAATAAATATATACGCAAATAAAAATGAAAATTAATAATCAGTGAATGCCGTACCTTAGGTGTAACTGTGCCTCTAGTGTAATATTTACATATTGTAAATTTTAAGGGCGCATGATGCTTCGAGAAGCGGCTTTGTATTGATGGCCTATTTTAGAGTGTACCAATCGATCCTTGAGGTTAGGCCTTCTGGTGAGGGCTAGAACCGGTCTGGTGTCATTCCATATTTGTTTAAGATAAGCATCAGCTGAGATCAAGTGCCAATGTTTAGTAAGGACGGAACCTATATTTATAGTTTTTATGTCGAATGGGACAACAAAAGGTAGGACTTGTGGTTTAGGTGGAGGGGGTTCGAAGTTGAGGTGCTGAGGGGTGGTTTCATTGTTGGCGGGGTTTCCTGGGAAGAGGAGCTCGTATTGGGTGACATATGTCAGTTTACTAAATTCGGTGGTGATATCTTGAGATTCATAACCTCTTATGATTAGGTTTTTTTGGAGTGCTTTGAGGTGTTTGTGGAGTTCATTGTTGTCTGTGATCAAACGTCTGAAGCGAAGTGCTTGGCTGTAAATAACACTTTTTTTACACGAAGGTGGGTTGTTTTTATAGGTATAGAAGGTAAAAACTAAAAAACCAATATGTGAATAAAAGTATAAAATCCAAAATAGAAGAATGAGAAAAAAGGAGATAAGGAGTAGTCACTACCACCTGGTCACAGCCTCAAACTCCGATGGGGGGTGGTTGTGTGTGCCCATATATGTTTTAAACAATTAGCTTGTAAGTGGGCAGAAAATGATAAAAAAGCAACTCATCAGCCAGAAACCCACGAGGGACATTTCGGGGCTTTAATTCGGTATGTCCGTTTCTCGTGGGCGCCCCTCGCAATCCTGCGTCCAGGATCACGGTTGCAAAATAAATATATACGCAAATAAAAATGAAAATTAATAATCAGTGAATGCCGTACCTTAGGTGTAACTGTGCCTCTAGTGTAATATTTACATATTGTAAATTTTAAGGGCGCATGATGCTTCGAGAAGCGGCTTTGTATTGATGGCCTATTTTAGAGTGTACCAATCGATCCTTGAGGTTAGGCCTTCTGGTGAGGGCTAGAACCGGTCTGGTGTCATTCCATATTTGTTTAAGATAAGCATCAGCTGAGATCAAGTGCCAATGTTTAGTAAGGACGGAACCTATATTTATAGTTTTTATGTCGAATGGGACAACAAAAGGTAGGACTTGTGGTTTAGGTGGAGGGGGTTCGAAGTTGAGGTGCTGAGGGGTGGTTTCATTGTTGGCGGGGTTTCCTGGGAAGAGGAGCTCGTATTGGGTGACATATGTCAGTTTACTAAATTCGGTGGTGATATCTTGAGATTCATAACCTCTTATGATTAGGTTTTTTTGGAGTGCTTTGAGGTGTTTGTGGAGTTCATTGTTGTCTGTGATCAAACGTCTGAAGCGAAGTGCTTGGCTGTAAATAACACTTTTTTTACACGAAGGTGGGTGGAAAGATTTAGCATGTAAAAGGGTGCATATATCAGTGGGTTTCACTCATTATTTTCTATTATGATCACCGCTATATACTTATAGCTAATCACGCTGTTTACTATTGTTTTGTTATATTCCTACTGCGTAGCTCCGGTCTTGTGACTCACGCTTGCTGTATGATTTATCTAACTCTTGAATTTGTATCGTTATTGATTGCTTCTTCATGTTATGTTCGGATACAAGTTGTGTTTTCTTTACACTGTTATCTTAATAATCCCTTGTGACAGAAATTGAAGCAAAAATCGACCTTGAAACAGCTGTAATTACGAAAGTGTTAGTTTTTCGAAAATTTTATGGTGATTTTCGTGATCAGCATACTCGATTACATGTTGGGGGCGAATAAAAATTTTCGTGTCATATGCACTTTAAGCAAGAATAGATAACAGCAAATTATTTCTTTAAAACGAGTTCGAGCATATTATCTGTCAGACTAATAGCCATGTTTGCTCAGGGATTCATTACAGCTCTCTTGTGATAATCACCTTCACAACTACGGAAGGGAAGTGCTTTTCAGGATTCGCTGGAATGGCTTATTCGGAGTTTGTGCTTACACTTGAATCAATGGCAGGAAGAATCTGAAGCTTCTACTAAGTCCGAGAAGAAACAACTTTTTTTCCGGTTAAAAAAAATTTAAAATTATTCAAATAGCATTTACCTAGTAAATTGTTGAAGCTTAAAACTGAAACATCAGTTTTGGTACAGAGGATAAGACCAACATTATTTTCAAGGTTGCCTTTTGAGATAAAGGAATTGATTAGAAACTGCTTAGAAACTTTGGAAATTACTTCAAACTTCGTTGCACCACTCTTTTAAGCTCAGATTTGGTTTTATCACCATAATTTTTAGGCCGGATACAATTTTCCATATTGTTTATGCTTTTATATCAGACTTAACGGAGGAATGAAGTTTAAAAACTTGTAAGGGATTTGACTGCAAAAATCATTCCGAGTAAAACTTAACCCCCTTTGTTGCCAATCACAGACACGTCCCTTATAAAATTTGTATCTTTATGTCGTCAAAAAATCAATATCATGATTATCACGAAAACTTGCAAGTAGACCTCATTTTTTTCTCTCAATCTGAATCTGGGATCAAAACTTTTGTACAAAACGTTTGAAGAATTCTATCAAAATGAGGCTGATCGCAAGAAAATTTTATCGTATATGTTGTTTTTTTATATCATCTATGTAGTCTCTCTCTTTAGATCAGGAATTTTAAATACAAGCAGTCCTCCCAATGGATGGTGTTTTTAGAATTAAAATTTAGAATATATGCTATTTCTTAAAAGCAATAGTTCAGGTATCTAATAAAGCATTTAAGACAAAGTAAAGCGGAAACATATTTCACCGAAATTAGAGTTCAACAAAATTGTCAATTCTTTACTCCAAGGATCCAACAGTTTCTTGATATCACTAGTAAAATGTGATTTTAAAGTAATCGACAAATTTGATAAAAATACTTATAATCCACTGGATGCCTGTCTTGATTAGATATCAAGCATAATTTTTAACACTTTATCGCTACTCAAAAAGACTTACTTTACAACAACTTTTGTTTGCTTTGCTTGTTATTAAAAGAAGAACGAAATCAAGATCAAATCAAGTCTTATAGATTAAAATGCAAGCGAAGAAAGTTTCTGATACACTTGAAGCTTTGCGGAATAACTATAATGATAATGATCTGTAAGAAGGAATAGATGAAATTATAAATTTTGGCAAATACTACGTTTATGAAAATCCTATTCAAATTAATCGACTTCCATAATCGAACTCATAAAAATATCGAATAGAAGGGTACATGCAACATCATTTACAATAGCCAAAAAACTTAAAATGGTGAATGTTAAAATATAATCAAGCCTATTGTTTATAGAATTAATTTATTGGACGGAACTTTTGGATGGAGTAAATACAACGATTAGAGCAAAACTCTTTAAACAATAATATTAGTCCTTCACTATGTTGCTAGTGAGAGACTTACATTAGTTTTTCAGAAAAACTGAATAGCAAACCAGCATAGCAAGATTTAATGGGGATTTAATTCTAATTTAACATAAGAATTCCGTCCAACAGAAATTCCAAGTGCCAGTGCCACATTTAGTATCAAATGACTAAACAAGGGTAAAGAATTGTTTACTTGTTCATAAGTAGACCATAACTCGACTAGCAGTTCTGCCCTTGAAGGGACAAAAATTTTAAGATTACGCAACTTCCTTGTGAAAACGAGGCTTTTGGCCCCCTCAACAGACTTAAAATCAATTTTAAGCAATTACGCCCAAGAAATATGCTTAATCAACATTAAAACTGTAATTTATTTCCGTTTGAACTGTTTTCTCATTGATTACCTTCATATACGCAAAAACGAGACTTCAAACACAAAAGAGGGGCTAATGCTCCCCCCCCCCCAAATCCCCGTATAACATCGAATTTCGAAATCAGCTGCCTCGAATTGAACAAAAGCACTTGTTCCCACAGATTTTGCTCTCTGGCGACCATTCCCATATTCTCTGCCTAGTCTATAGGGGCTATGCTTTAACATATTTTTAACGTGTTTTGAAAAGCTCAGCTCAATCTTGGCCTTTCGTTCCAAACCTAAACCTAGTCTAAATCTTAGGTAATAGTACACAATATTATTTCAGTTACCATGTTTATGCTTTAACACATTTTAAAGAAATATCGTTAACATTGCATAATGAAGGAAAGGACTCTTGGGGAAATTTGAAAGACTGATGCCCCCTTTCCATTTGAAGTGACAAACTATCAGTTGATTGAGAATAGGATGTCAATGTATGTCTTCAAAAATAGATATATTATTCTTGAAAATAGCTGCGAACATTTTGGGACTATAAACTCCTCAGTTGCTAATTCTAAAGATTTTTTGAAGTATCTACAGATGAACACTGAAGAATAACAAGACAATTTTGCTCTGCTATCTTGTTCATTGGTATCAACCATCGTGTTTACATCTTACGATGCATCTCAATTCACAATTAACGCGCTCTCTTTTAAATCTACAGTCCCTTGTTCTGAGTAACGCTACAAAAATTCTCCAATTTTAACTACCAATAAGTAGCAAGAATAACATGTGCAGTTTTACGTCAACTTAAGCTAATTAACAGCAATTTTTATGTAGAGATGTCAATGTATGTCATGCCTATAACACGCTGAACGCTTATAACTTAATTTACCTAAACATGTATCTGTAGCCAAGTTATGGAGTAAACAAGCAATGTAAGGGTTTTCCCGCGATCCTAACGAGTTCACCATGCGATCCATCTAAATAAACCGTAGGAAAAACAACTTATCACTACACAATTCTGTGTTCATAGCAAATAATTTACCAACTACGTAGCAATTATGGTTAGAAGGAAAATGCCCGAAAGCAATGGAAAAGTTCCGACAAAAAGCACAATCGATAGGTGAATTGCAAATCTTAGAAAACTCTTTCATCATATAAATGGTTTTGATGGAATTGTACCATTTTTTTCGATCTTCGGTAAACACAATATGTTATTTCAAGAGGTTTCCTTAGTGAATGAACTGTTCACCAGAAGAATTACATTTTCAGAACTTCTTTTAATCTGCGCAAATAACAGTTTATGAAATTCAAACGTATGATTTCGATTTATGCCAAGGAATATTTCAAAGATTTGTTGGTTGCCAAGGAAACAAATTACTTTTAGTTCTTTCATTCATCTTATCTTGATAAAGCATTCACTTTTTGAAATCGATGAAAACAGTCTAAATTATTATAATCAAAGTTTATAAGTGGGTGTGACCTTAATCAAAAGTGCAATGAAATCTTCAAATTGTTTACACTTTGTTGTGCATATACTTTTCTAACATTGATATGCAAAACCATTTTTAGGAGAATAGCGTTTAAAAAACTTCAACACAGAATGTAGTGCTAAGAGTTTAAATCAAGGCGCAAGTTCAATTGTTTCTTGTTAGAAGTAATACATTGTTCTTGAAATAAGCCTTTGCCTTATGTTTTCGATGTTAAATGACAACTTTGAAAGATGTATCTAAAATAATCTATTGTTAGCCTGCATGCAATTAAAGGTGTAAAATATATTTTCGTTTCGCTTTCTTTTGTAGATGAAATGAAAGCCTATAATTACTTGATAAATTTTTCAAAGTAAAGTGATGCAGTCCAAACGCAGATGTCCAAACGCAGAAGCAGACAGCAGCTCTTAGTTTTTCAAAAGGAAAGAATGATTAGATCTTTATTACATTGCAACACAGCTAAACTTTCTTGCAATGTTCCAAGAACTTTCCTTGAAAAATTATTCGTTGGTGTCTATTGCCCTTACCTCAATTGCCTCAGGCTGGATATGGTACAAAGCAGTTTGTTATCAATGCAAATTCATTAAAAGGTTTCCAGGTGACATGTCCGTAATCAATAGAATGTCAGTGTAATTGCAACATTGACACATCGGTCTGGTTTCGTCTGAATAAAACTGTTCAAACAAAATGGCTAGTGGTAGTACCGTCTACAATGTCAGATATATGCTGTTGTAATGAATATGCTAGGAAGTTTCAATCTTGTTTTCTTTTTGTTTAGTTTCTCGAAAATTCGAGTCATGTTTGGAGAAAAAAGGGATTAATCAATTGTCTTCTCTTATATTACAACTTTAATCTGTTATAACTATCGTTTAAATAAAGTAACTACATCTAATACATGATCATGACTGCAAACCTCTGCTTGAAAGATGTTTTTATAGGTGAATAAAAGTTTTGAAGAAGTTGTAAATGTGTAAAATTTAACTGACCTTAAATTACACGAAAGTTAATATTTTTGTCAATGTGCATACATATGATAAAATTAAAATTCATGCTAAAAGAGCTTTAATAAAAGCAAAGTCTCCATAGAGATTATTAACTCTTTCAAGGCATTCTGAAGACAAAAGATGTTTATACAAACGTTGATAGACCGATTGTTACTTTATCTGGCTAAGTTAAACATCGCATCGTTTAGAGAGAGGACAATAAAGCACACTAGTCTGGCAAACTTTTAGGTGACTGTCAAGTCTCCTGTGAAGATACTTGCTGTAACACGAAGCCAGTTTGCTGACAAAAAGCAAAGTTTGGGGTACGTTGACAGAATCTTTACTTAATGTTAAAATTAACTTTGCTAAAAAAGTTGCAAGGAAATGCTGTATGCAGTTTGAAGTTTTTGTCGAAGCGGTCGATTATTAAATGATTTTGTCTTTATTCCACTTAGTTTTTACGACATTTTTTTAAGAATTTCAAGGGTAGGCTGCATTGGTTTACTGAAAACTAAGTAAACATAATAACCTATCGTATAATTATTTTAGCATCTCTCTCTCTCTCTCTCTCTCTAACCAATAGAATCGAAGCATTTGCTGACATGTCTGTTCCTGTATATCTCGCAGCATTCCTCTGTTCAATTGCATTGTCAGACGTAGCAGGCAAGTATTAATATTTTTCATACATTCTGCATATTAGCCTTCTTTAAATATTGTGCTGTAAAAACAAAGAAAGGCTAATCGTAATAAAATTTGGAAATGCACGGTTTTAAAGACACTTTCATCATCATCATCATTAGCCCCTAGTCGGTGAACCGTAGAGGCACTTCGACTTTGACGCGACAGAAAGTTCCTTCTATGCGGCTAGGTTGCAAGAAATACTGCAGCACTCTTCCAATGACTTTCCGGTCCACGAGCTGATTTCGGCACACTAGTTGTTCCACAGCCTTCCTCTAGGCCTGATGTCTTCGACCATGACCTGCAGAACTTGGTGGGCCAACGTCTCTGCTTGACGGGAAGTGTGTCCGTAAAATTGCATTTTTCTTCTTCTCCCTGCTTCTAGCAATGGCTCATCGTCTCCTATCTCGAACTTGATTCTTTCTCTTACGGTTTGGTTTGTCACTTGGTCTTTCCAGCTGCTGTTGAGAAGTCTTCTAAAAATCTTCATTTCGAACGCTTCTAATCTAGTTTCAATCGTTTTAATGAATATCCAACTTTGGCATGCATAAAGAAGTGTAGACTTAATGAGTAAATTTAACAGCTTGGTTTTTGTTCTCATTCTGATTTTGTTATTTTGCCACACTTTATTCAATTTTTCCTAGCTGACTGGTCGCGATTGCAATTCGTTTTTTCACTTCTCTCGTAGAACTTACATCGTTGTCTATAGTTTAGCAGAGGTAAACAAAGTTCTTAACGTTTCCAAGCTTTTCGTTATTAATTTGGATTTCGACTACATTATCATCATCTTTGTTTCGCGTTGTTACCATCAAATTTTTATACCAAACTGTTTCGACATCTTATTGAGTCGATCCGTTAGTTCTTTTAGTTCCTCGGGTGATCCGGTAATTAGGTCAATAATATCAGCGAATTGCAGGTTTGTTATAGTTCATCCTCAAATTTTCACTGTTCCTACACAATCTTGCAAAGCGTTGCCAATGATTGATTCTAAGAACGCATTGAATAACGTTGGTAAGAGTAGGCATCCCTGGAGTACAGTAGTACTAACCCATAGTTGGTCCGTATCACCGAGTACAGCGCTCTTGCTATTGTCATATAGTTCTTTCATCAGAATCTTTCATCATAAGAATTTTAAACAACAATTAAGACAACTTGTTTTGCACCTTGTTCTTTGTTGCACTTTCAAAACAAACATCGAATCTGTTGCAAAATCTATCGGTGGCGCGAACAACTAGGCTTTGGGGGAGGGGAGGTGGACAAAACAAAAGTTTTCAAGCCAGGCACTTTAACCGCCAGAAAATACATCTGAAAAGAAAATGCTATTCATGTTCCATGGTTTTGAAATTTTTCATTTTTTTCTATTACTCGACATTTGAAAAGAAATATTATTCTTGAGCTGTAATCTTTTGAATGCTATTGTAGCAAAGTTTTATCGTACCCGATGGTTACCATCGACTCAAGCACACAATCTGTATCGATTTATATCGTTTCTGCCACCCCTTATGCTCTAGCTTCTCCCTAGCCACGCCCTATCCAAGGTGATTGCCTTAAAAATTGGAGGAAGATTTTGACAAGGAAAAATTTTGACCGGAGGTAGGTTAAGAACATTTCTGGACTTTGGCTGCCAGCTACTTTCCCAACCCTTAATTATTTGATTGAAATCCCCACATCTTCTTTTAAGATGTAAAGCTCTTCCTGTTCCTCTTCTAGATTCTCCCCTGGACCTCCTCTCCAGGACATCACCTTTCGTTGTATAGTTTTTCAACTTGTTCTGTCCATCTTTTTTGGATTTCTGGTCCTTCACTGTCTTTAATCGCGGTCAAAGTTTTTGCAGCATTTTCATTCGTAATTTTCTTTATCGCTTCAAAATAAATTTTCGTGTTGTTGTGTTCAAAGCCGTGTTCGATTCCGCTCTTTAATTCAGCCAGTCATCTTTGCTTCTTTAATACTTTATCTTTCTCTATAATTCCTTACACTCACTAGGCATGTGCATATGTAGTAGACTTCTTCTTTAGACTTGCAACATTATTCCTGTAGACTTCTCAAGCAAGAGATAAACACGTTTGTTTGAGAGATTGCTTAATATAGGAATACAATCAAATCATATGCGCAGACACATGATGTCATACAGTAATGATGATAATAATAATAATAATGAAAACATTTTTTATTTTATATTCTTCTACTTACAACAGTAACCTCACTTTACAGGTAGTTACTATCGGCTAGCCTGTGACAAGTTTACTACATTCTTACAAAAGTTATAACATTATAAATAAAACAATACGTGCAGTTGCAGAAGATCTTTAGAAGGGAGCAAGTTCAAGGTCTCTTAGTCCACATACTCTATTGCCGATACAGAATGATATTTTTATAGACTAGATGTGCGCTATATATTTACTCTGCTGAGCAGTTTATTTAATCATATAAAATATACTGGTGTTAGGTAGTCAATAGTTTTAGTTCATCAGCCATATCGATGAAAGAATCACAGGAGTTACCAAAGATACCGAGACAGTCTATATGATAGGATTAAACAAAGCTTCTTTTTTGACCTTAGGGCGTAAGTCTCCTTTAAAGGCGACGGTACTTTCAAGTTTACGCGACAGCGTTATTGTCCAGGCTTTTCTCGAACCCCACACACTTAATTCCCTCGATGACTATACAGACAGTTGAGAAGAGCAGTTTTGATACATGTCAGGGACGAAAACGAATCGCTCAGTTATGATACCTGGCTATAATAAAGCGGGACATGCAGCATATATATGAATACATCTCGGATACATTCGAAGATTGATGATGCACTATGAAGTGCATGCTAGGGCAGAGTCGTCGCCTCCAGTAATAGAGTCGCCCGTTGGGCTCCAAGTGATTTGTTACTCATCCAGCTCACGACCATGGAAGAGAGTGATTTCAGGCTGAAGCAGTGGAATGAGCAATCTGGAGAAGAGCTAAATTTTTTCCAGTGAGTGTTGTTGAGTCACTTATCGTAAAGTTGAAGAGTTTTTTGGAAGTTTACTTTAGCTGCAGCCAAGAGTGAGGTTAACTTTGTATATGATGCTCAATGCAGGAATGAAATGATGAAGCCTTGAGATGTTAACTAGAGTTTGAGCTTTTCAGTATGTTCATCCCTCTACACACTTTCAGTACCGCCCTTAGTGTTCTGTATGCGATTCGAACTGTAATATTAGGTCCATTAATTGGTGTTCATGCCATAAGGATTTAGGATATAATATAATAATAATATCAGATAATAATTAAATAATAATAATAATAATAAATAAAATAATAATAATAATAATGAATTAAATAATAAATATAATAATAAAAGATAATAATATTATAAAATAATGTGAAATCAAATAATAATAACTCCCCGAGACCATAACAATGCCGGGTTGACATCCGGCGGGGGTAGTCTGTTCTCATGGGTAGGAGGGACTCTTTAGCTTGGTACGGCAACCGCCCCTACGTGAATGGTGTGCACAAAAAAAATACCCAGTTGGGAAACTTGCTCAAAGCAAACGACTGTACCTCTTTTTATGAGGTGAGAAATCCGAAAAACGTGATTAGAATACACAGCGTAACAGGAAGACTGCCGAACCATAAGATGGTAGGTCTTCTCGCTCGCGGACAGTGTACCAGTGAGGACGACAGCGTGGGCCCGGTCCCTCATCCACTATCTACTGCCAGAACTGGATTGCGTCGAAAAAGTATAGCACACTGTAGACCAGTCAATGGACTTTGGTGCCTATATTTTTGAAGTAAGCCTGTAAACGATGACGGGAAAACCAAGTAGAGAGAGCTATCAGGACGCAAGAATCGATTAACTATTTCGGCAGAGAGAGACTAGTTTCAATTCGACTCGAAAAGCGATTCCAGTAGCGTGAACCAGAGCCGTCGCATGATTAGAAAAAAGCGGTTGGCTGACTCGATGTGGACATTGGAAGAAAAAAAAAAAGAGTTCAAACAGAAGACGGAAGGTGGTGATAGAAGATAAGCTAGCGTTGGGAACGAGGGAACTGTTTAATGAGGATACCAAGTGACTGAGGCCTGAAATAGAACCTTGGTAACTTCCCTGGAGAGAAGTGAGAGTTAGCGAAAGCGAAATACAAAAATGGATAGAGAATTATTGAAAATCACTGAAGAATGGGAAATAACAGTCAATCACGAAGTCTGTAAAAAAGGCAGACAGAAATCCTGTGAATGTAGGCCATTTACAGGGAGATAACCGACGCCTTGATAAGCATCTAAGACCTGATAAGAATAAACTTAACAGCAAACAAACTGATCAAGTCTGTTGCATTATTTGCCGACGGAAAACTAGCAATACGGGAAACGAAAGATAGAAACTAAAACAAGTAGAACATGGTGGAAAGAAGATTATAAGCGAATCTGTATGTAAGTGCAACTTAGAAAGCACCATTCTAAACACTACTTTGAGCGCGAAAGAGAGGGTGAAGTATCGAAGCAACAGGGAAATGACCTATGAACTGGTCAAACAAAGCCTTACTCAACATCAAGAGACAAAGGAGATCTTCTACTGGTAATTATGAAGATGTTGAAACAAGAAGAATGCAATGCCAAGGCTTTCAACTAAGCAAGGTACGAGCAAAGGACGCCGACAATAGCCAATTAATCGAATGTTTTCAATATGACCTAAAGAGAAGGGTATATTCACACACAAACCTAGCAGCGGTAAGACAAACAAAGAGAATACAACACCAAGATTGCAGATGTAAAGTAAACATTTGGCCCTTCGATCACATATGGGACTAACGAAACACAGCACAAATAAAAAGGGCTAAGGTGGTTAGAGGATTGAAAACATACAAACCGTAACTAATCACAAAATGACATTGAAATAACAGACTAGAATGGTAAATCAGCAATCCATTAAGAAGATACCGTAACTGGAAAGCTCCTCGGCCTGATTGGAGTCCAGGTGGTTTGGATAAAGAGAACTTTACATCTGCTATCACGAAAGAATTGCTTGCCCAACTCCAGATGATTTGATAAATGGAAAATAGAAATACCCTCGTGGATGGACCACCGGCAAGAACTGTGCTACTTGTCAAAAGGATCCCAAAGAATGGCAATTGCAGTGGTGAAACTAATTATAGACCCATATCTGCTTCGCATTAATGTGCGAAGCTTCGTTGACAGGAATCATCTCTGGGAAATGTCTACAGTTCTGGATGAGAATTGAGATGTGTGATCCTTGAAGACACAAAGCCCCAAAAGGCTGTACCTACAAGATCTACCACTTGCCAAAGGGTAACCAAAGGATCGCTTCTGGTGGTATAAGACCCGATTCTTTGCATGATGCTGTCAAAAGGGCAGGCATAAAATCTTAAGCCATGCCGTGGCGTTACCTATTAAAGAAAGCCTCATACGCATCGGTTCCCCACAGATACTGCGACTAACTTAGAAGTTTTTAAGGACATCTATACTAAGCTATAGACTAATGCTTGTTCAACTATCTAGAAAGCCTCACGATGACCAACCTGGAAAGTACAAACGCTGACATCGTGTGGGAGAAATCTTCTAGCGGCTCTTACTTAAATATTCGCAGAGATTATATTCCAAGGAGACAGCCTATTACCACTTTTGTTCGTCATTTGCATGCATACCCCTTACCGAAGTCCTCAGAAAACAGCATCAAACAATGGGATATACATGCGATTGGTCTATAGATTCAATCACCTGGTTGTTCTGGAACGACTTGAGAATTGTTCGCGAAAAGAACGAAGAATGAACTGACAGTTAACATCTAATGTCAACCTTTTAGTCAGAGAGTATTAGGGAAATGGAATTTGGGATAATAAAGGTGTGTGTTGTGACTTAAGAAGGGGAAAAATTAACAGGAAGTGAAGGGTAATTGAACTGTGTCACATGGGTGAAAAAGATTCAAGGAGTTGGTGAAGAGGATACAGTAGTGGGACATTAACAGAGCTTGGATAGAATAAAAGAAGAGGAGATAAGAAAATATTTCAAAGAGAGACATTTCAAGAAGGTTTAGACTTGTCATTGCAGTCATAAATCTCAATGGATAGGAATTAAAATTAAAACCAACAAATTACTCTGGGCAATCTCCCTGAGTCGCGCTATGGCAGCAGGAATAATCTAAATAGGAGATAAAGACGAGCTAGAAAGTATGATCAGAAGAACCAGGAAATAATCAGACAATGAGATAAGAAACTTCTCCTAGAAGCGAGTGTAGCAAGATTTATGTTAGCAGGAAAAAGGGTGGTAGAGGTGCTGAAAGTTGTGGAGTAGATTGTATTGAAAATGAGACAAACAACCTAGCTTGGTATGGAAGGCATGCTAGATGCAGGAGATATTAGTCAAAGTGAGACCCTTCGGGGCAATGAAATCACTGAGGAGGCCAGTAGCACGAATGAACAAAGAATGAGACAAAAGGCGCTTGAGAAACGATGGAAAGATAAGCCGATGTATGGGCATTTACTAAGAAATACTGACGGAATTGAATTGGAATGAAAGCTGGACCATGGTTAAGGACGGAGATCTGAAAGGGTGCTACTGAAGCATTAGTGGGTAGTGCACAGAGCAGGCGCTGCGCCTAATTATACAACACTACATATGATAAACACAAGTGATACGCCTTTATGTAATGATGTGCGGTGACAAGGGAGAAACAGTAAAGTCCATCTGTGAGCGACTTAATAGCTGGCACAGACAGAATTATAAAAAGAACGAACACGGACAATGGGGAAGGTATATTCATTGGTTTTAGCGGAAAACAGTGAGGATTTTGAAAGAGCCACAAAATGGTATGAACCGAAAACGCTGAAGGAGTTTTAGAGAATCACATAGTTAAGCTACTGTGCGGATTTTTAAATGATTTCAATTGATAGGGTTGTTGAAGTAAAGCCAGAACATTGTTGTCGTTGACAAAGGAAAAAATTGAAGATAATCGAGTATGTGCCATTCCTGGTGATAATAGGTAAAAGGTAAGACAAAGAAAAGAATTGAGAAATATCAACCATTGAAAGGAGCAAATTCGGAAATCCTGTGGAATATCGAAATAGGTGACAGTCATCCCAATGTTTGGTGATTGGGGCATTAGGGTGCAATATCATTATTGTGTTTGAAGAGACACATGAAAAGATCGGAATGATTGGTAAAGTTACAGGTGATACAATAAGACAGCACTGCTAGGAACAGCGGAGGATTTTTTGAGACAACGACCATTGTCT